GGAAAATTCATGGTTTGAAGCAATTATATAGTGCAGATTCAAATTTAATCAGATTTAAATGAAGCCACTGATTGAAATTCACGTAAGTACACTGTTTACTGCTCCAGAGAGAGCAGACATACAAGTTAGACAAGTGAGTATGAATAATGTACCCACTGACTGTCACCTGTGTGACAAATCTGCAATACATTGTTTTCCTCCCCTTTAGCCTATCTTAGCTGATTTAACATGGGCAGGTTATGACATTTAAAAAATATTTGGTCAAATATCTATTCCTGAGTATTTTTAAAGAGGAAAGACTTACTTAAGCATTTTATGTTTTACTATAGCTCACTAATCCCTTGAAGAAGTTCCTTCTCCATACTTAGAAATATACCTGATTTATTGTATAATTCCTAAGCGGTCAACTAGTCATGCACATCAATATAGCCCCAAACAAAGTAGGTGTTATAGGTCAAGTTAATGTTACCCTCTCACAGTTTTTCACTGCTACACTTGCTCACCTACCATAGCGTGCAGAGTTCTCATAAGTCATCAGTCATAATCCCAAATTCCACATTGTTATTGGTGACACACACAAAACTTACTCAACATGCCTGAAGCAAAGGTAAGGCTTAGAAGATATTTATAAGAGGCAAAACCAACCAACACAAATCCTTTGAAACTAGTGTTGACTTCATTTTGAAACTCTAAGTTATAAAATCTTGCATATAAAGTCGCTAACTAAAAACCAGAAGCAGTAAATTAAACAGATTTTCCTTATTAAAAATGACAAATGACAGAGAGAGAGAGAGAGAGAGAGAGAGAGAGAGAGAGAGAGAGAGAGAGAGAGGAGAAAGCTGAGAAGACTGCCTGCCACAGAGGCAGATGGTTGGGGAGGGAAACTGGGTACACTGGTGGTGGGAAAGGGCTGGGCACTGGAATATTATATAAGTGAAGCCCAGTCATGAACAACCCTGGAACTGTGTATCTCACTGTGATTCAATACAAAAAATATTTTTTTTAAAGGACTGTGATTTGACTGACTCGCAGACTATTCCTTTCAGGGCCAGAGTGATAGTACAGCAGGTAAGGCACTTGCCTTGCATGCAGCTGACCCAGGTTCGATCCCTGGAACCCCGTATGGTTCCTGGAGCACTGCCAAGAATGATTCTTGAGTGCAGAGCCAGGAGGAACCCCTGAGAACTGCCAGGTGTGGCCCCCAAACAAACAAACAAATCAGCCACAGACTATCCCTTTCAGAGTAAGGATTTCTCTCAGAGGAGGAATGGATTTGGTGTAATGGTTTGGGGTAGGAATTTCACAAGGTCTTGTGAGACTGAAAAATGCAGACTGGAGTAGGACAATTAGATGCATCCTACTAAGTATTGGTAAATTAGTTCACAGCCTGTCTGTTGAAGATGGCAGGAACATAACCCAGGCTTTTCCCTCAAGTAGGCTGAAATGGAGTAGCAAGAGGAGAGAACTAAGATACTCAAAGCAAGGCGGGTGTGTGGGGCAAGGTTTCCAAGGAATTTCCATTTATTAAAATAATGGGTGTAAATCAATAAATTAGATAGAAAATAATAATTTCCTAGACTTGAAAGTATATGTGCGACCTTTTGAATATCAATTCCATCTTGGATCTTTCACAAGAGTTCATTCAATCTGTGGTTAAATTTCTCCAGTGGGAAGAAGCCCACTGTCATCATGGGGAGATCGCTGGAAGGACCAGCCCAGCTACAAACCCAGCACTACACCCAGGCTTCAAAGAAATCAGTGATAGGGCCAAGACTGGCTGAGTGCTAGCTGTTCAGCTTTTGTTTCATCTCACCAAATAGGATCCAAAGTCTCTTAGTGTCTGACCATCTATTAAGTTCATAAACAAGTCCTAATTGATATGGTGCTAAATTTGTCGGAGTGGCTGATAGGAATGAGAATGTCTGATTTGGAGCAATCAAGTGTGAGGAAGTGGAAAATGACAGAGTGGTCACTGGAATCATCCCACTTAACCCAAAGGTATTGAGCACCAACCCATAGAGATGCTCTTTCAAATTTCACCTATCTTGTCTGGCAGAAGAAAAAGCTCTCTGTCCCTCGAAGGGTTTAAGGTGAGGTTAAAAAAAAAATCCCACCTAGGTGGGAAAAGATGCCCCCGAGAGCATACCAGGACAAAGGAAGGAGAAAATGAGAGCTGGAAGTACCAGGCCGCTCTTAGAGTCCAATGAAAGACGAATCTCATGCAGTAAGCACACAGCTGGGTCGTGCTCTCGAATACAACAGGCCAGGGATTCCCCCTAATTAGGAAGCAAACTAGACTCTGTGACATAGAAGGTCCATTTGGACCCTTGGAGCTTTATGATTTCCTCTTCTTAATAAGCCAAGCTAATTAATTCTGTTTCAACAGTGTTCAGGAAAATTTCTAAGACCTGCTCTAACCAACTAATTAGAGCCCACCATCTTTGTCGTGCATGTGGGAGCCAAGAGTCAGCATGCAGTTGGTCTGGTTCAGTGGAGAGGACGTCCCTGAAATTTCCTGATTCTACAAAGGGTGACCTGCGACAAGATGAGCAGAAAAGAGCAAACATCCCCCAAGACCCAAGAGCCCAGCTTCCAGAGAGTGGCTTCAACGGGCAGATGGAGGAAAAGAAATGACCCTGCTTGTTTGCCCCATGCGCAGATAAGACAGAGCAGGAGACGACCTGTCGAACAGCTACCCTGCTGCAGAATTCCCAAGATATTTGCTGTAATCGCCCTTCTCTCGCACACGACCTATAAAATCTGAACACCAGGATTCTGACTCTGGAGCAGTTCTCTCAGCATGGTCTGTGGATCATCTGTGGGCTTAAGACCTCCCTTGAGTTCTTTAATAAACCTACCTATACTCTGCGACTGTTTGCAGTTAACAGCATTCAAAGTTCTTACTCTTTGGAATTATATGGCTCACATCATGGTCCCTACTTTGCACAGCATATGTTAAAACCTGTATGGGGCAATCCTATAATTCTGTGGAGTCAAATCCTTTAATGATACCTAATTAAATCTTTTCCTCTCTCACTGTTCTTCACTTGGATAAATGGAAAAGGGGAATTTGTGTAAAATTGAGGCTAACATGTATTTCAAGGGAAATAGAAACACTTCAAAGTTCAGAATGAGTCACTACAAAAAGGGCCATTCTTTTTTTTTTCAAAACAGAAAAGGTCTCATAAAAAGTAATATGACCTAATGGTACTTATTTAACTTCTATGTCTTTATATGTATCCTTTGTCTAAATGATTGAAAAAAAAACAATGATTCAAAAATAATGCCTAAGAAAATAGATGACCAAGACTTTTGGAAAAGCTCAGAGTTAATAGAGGGAAAGAATCTGGAATTAAGTAGAAAGTAAATGATGGAGAGAGAGAAAGGAATTATGGAAGATGTAAAATGTATTGAAGTCTCTTAGAAATGTTAAAATTATATAATGCACTAGATGGGCAAAAATTATCCACAGGTTCCGACTTCAGACAAGGTTCCTATGTCATAACTTCATTACAAAAAATGATGCCCAGCCTCCGCATTCAAAGCCAATGAAGCAGCTCTGCAAAGCAGCTTTGGAAATAATCCAATAGAATAACATGGCTAAGTAAATGGCCGAGAAGGCTGATTTAAAACTTTTTGCTGCCTCAGCTGGGAAATGGTTTGTGTAGCATGGTTATTTTAATATACTTGAGATGAGCGTTCTATTTACATGGCCCCCTGGGGCACTGATACGCTTTCCTGTTAGACACAGGTGTTCGGATGCTAATTCAATGGTGGGCATTCGCTGGCTTGTTCCATCTCTGGCATCTTGTTAGCAGGAATGTGCACGAATGAATTTCTCTGTTCTATGTGCTTAGTGTGTGCTTCACATGCTACTGTCACAGCCATATTTCTTAGGAAGGAAGCACAGCTGTGGGTTGTTCTCCTAGAGCCTCTCTGATGGCATCAGAGGAGCCAGAAGAGTCAGGGGTGCTCAGTTAAGGACATACAACATAGAGGAGGAATGAGGTTGGAAGGGGGTTCAGGGATATGTCATCAGCATATTTTCTGGGTAGGAAATGAGTGAGCAGGTGGAGAAGTGGACGGGTAAGTAGACGGAGCAGTGGGTAGGCAAGATGGGTATCCTGGGTGAACAGGACAAAATATAGGCAGAGAGGACAATGGGTGAGTTGATGGGTTGGTAGGAGAATTGTTGGGGTGGCAGTAGTTGTTTAGAAGAACAGTTGGAGGTGGGAATACAGGTGGGTGGGTGGTAGAGTTGGCAGAAGAATGGGTAGGTGAGTAAATGGGTGAGTGGTGGGTGGAAGAATGGCCAGGGTTGATAGATAAATGGGCAGATGGGTCGTTGTTGGCTGGCTAATGAAATGGTTAATGGGTTAATGAGTAGATGCAGACAAATACAATGAATCGCTCTGATCTCATTTCTTCTCTGTGAACTGTAAACATGACAATATTCTTTCCAGTGACCACCCTCTTTCCCCCACCACTCTCTCCAAATGCTACTGAGAATCAAATCGAATTTTGCAGAATATTTTTCCCCCCCGAAACTCTATAAACTCCGTCACTGTGAATTTTATCTTATTTCTTGGTTTGCTTGGCTATTACCTGATGAGACAAAAGTAAGAAAACATGGTCAGGTTGCTTACTTTAGAAGAAGAGAATGCTTATATTCAAACTTGTTTGATGGAGAATGTGGAACATTTCAAAGCCCGACCAATTGGATGATTTAGTGGTGCACTGACTATGTGGGAAGTCCAGATCACTATGTTCACATAATGATCAAAGTCCTTACATCATAGAAGAAATTTCTGGTTACTTGCTAAAGTGCACTAAGCTTTATTCTCATGAGAGAAAATACCCTCTGCCTAGAAAGAAAGAAAACCCCAAATGCACACATGCCAGGGACAAAAGGCAGCTCCAGATCACTTGGGCCTCTAGAGTCCAGCGGGCAGCCCTTTCTCTGACCCTCTGGTGGGAAGCCCCCTCCCGCCGTGCCATACCTGTGTGTGTCCTTCGATGCGCCTTCAGGTGAGAACTCTTTGTGTATACTTTGTTGCATCCCTCAAAATCACATCTGTGGATACGCCGTTTTCTGGAGTCAGGTGATTCAGATCGTCTCTGGCGCCTTGTGCTCTCAATACTAAATGGTGAAATTGAACTGAAAAGAAGAAGTGGAGTCCAATGGTGAGAAACACAGCACACTCATCTGGTCTTACTGGCATGAAAACTTGGGTTCAAAGTCATAGAGACTAGAGGCCCCACAGCCACACTTCCTGCTGCCAATTTCTCACACTATTTGATGTTTTGGGCTGGAGCGATAGCACAGCAGGTAGGGCATTTGCCTTGCACATGGTAGACCCCAGTTCGATTCCTCCATCCCTCTCGGAGAGCCTGGCAAGCTACTGAGAGTATCGTGCCCGCATGGCAGAGTCTGGCAAGCTCCTCGTGGTATATTCGATATGCCAAAAACAGTAACAACAAGTCTCACAATGGAGATGTTACTGGTGCCCACTTGAGCAAATTGATGAACAATGGGAGTACAGTACTACAGACAGTGCTATTTCATGTTTTATTTTTACTTTATTTATCTATTTTTGCTTTTTGGGTCACACCTAGGGATGCTCAGGGGTTGGTCTTGGCTTTTCACTCATGAATTACTCCTGGCGGTGCTGGGGGACCATATGGGATGCAGGGGATAAAACCTGGGTCGGCCGCAAGCAAGGCAACTGCCCTACATGCTGTGCTATTGCTCCGGCCCTCAATTTCATGTTTTAAATCTTGAAGGTGGGTAGCTTGGTCTGTTTTGTTGAAACATTGCTCTGAAAAGGCAGAGCCTTTAGCAAAAGAAATAATCTCTGGGAGTAAAAATTTTCTCTCAATGTTTTAACTTCTGGATATGCTTAGAGCAATTTAGGAAGCCTTGCTATAGACAAATGAGTGCATTGAATAAGTAATATGGGGTCTGAATTGCATGTGACATATGAAATCATGTAAAATCACAATGTATATTTCAAAAGATATGAGGCTGGAAGGAATTTCTTCAGAGTATCAATCACATGACTCACGACAAGCTATTTCTGCTCTGTAAAATGCACCTGACATTTAACTTTTCCAGTAGGTGGTTTCTCTGTGATGAGGAATAAAGTACATTGTATTGAAAGATTAGCTGTACCACCATTATGAAGAAAAGTTTTAACCATGAAATTTGGTCCTGACTTGCACGTTGTTTAATCTTAATGCCACACTAGAAAAACAGGATTAGTTTGTAATGTCAGGTAATTGATTAACATGCATTTCTTCAAGGCTTAATCTCTTTTGATTGAGATAAAAAATGAAGATTATGACTCATTTCTTTTTTTTATTCTTCTTCGTGAAGTTCTTTAAAATTAAAGTGAAAGACCACAAAAAGTCGTACTTATTCCCTTGGTAGAATTTTTATCACTTACTATTTTGACACATAATTCCAGCCTTTGCATGTTTTGACGCTGCTGAAAATTACTTTTCATTAAATACATCACTAATCAAACAAACAGCAATTACAATATGACAATAAGTCCTCTCCTGTTCTCCCACTGCCATCCTAATTCCATCTCCTGCTCTCAAGGAAAACCTTTATCCTCAGTTTTCTTTACGATTTTCCAGTATCTTTCCTCATGCAATTCTCCATTCACAGAAACTCAATTTTTTTCTCTTTTTTTCTTTTCTTTCAGTATTTTATGTTTTGTCTTCGGCCACAATAGGCCGTGTTTGAAGGGCAATCCCTGGATTGGGGGACCATGTAGTGTCATGGATACCACTGGGGGCTCCCACATGCGAAACATGAGGTTCAGTCCTTTGAGCCATGTGGTATCAGTTTGCATTTTTTTTTTGCTTTTTGGGTCACAGCTGGCAATGCACAGGGTTACTCTGGCTCTGCACTCAGGAATTACTCCTGGCGGTGCTCAGGGGACCATATGGGATGCTGGGAATCGAACCCGGGTCGGCCGTGTGCAAGGCAAACGCCCAACCCGCTGTGCTATCGCTCCAGACTCTCATTTTGTATTTTTAAGAGAAAGAAGTAATAGGCTACTGCTCACATGATAATAAAAATCATCCTAAGTCTGCATTTTGTTTATGAACCAGGAAGCATCTAAGATCTACCCAGGTAGACAGAAACAATGCATTTTATGTGAAGTTTGGTATAAGGACTCCAAGATGCATTTTTTCCTAATATCTCTAAAATTAGGACATTTTACTTTTACCTTACCTTACCTTTACCCATACTTGATGGCTTATCTTTGTTTCATTGGCTAAGTGTTTTTCCTATTGTGGAACATAGAGTAATGATGCACATTATAATAGGCAATATGTTAATTTAAACCAGAAACTAGTAAACTGTTTTGGAAAAGGCTGAAAGCAAATATTTTATCTTGACTTTGAAAGTCACAGTATATGTCTTAAAAAACCAACTTGGCAGTTCTAATTCAAAAGTAGATATGTACAATATATAAACAAATGAGTATGGGTATGTTCTAATAAAACTATACTTATAAAACAAAGCATATTACTGCAATTGCAAAACAAAATATATTACTATAACAGACCACATATAGTACAGGGGTTGTGGCTTGCTGAAGTCTTACTTAGATGATTTGTAGCTTATGGATATTCATCAGATATATACCTTTAAATATTTTCGATATAACCTTTTCACTGATGCAGATAACAAATTCAGCAAGGAAAGCTTTATATTGGGGAAGACTTAAAACCCACTTCATAGGTAGTGAACATATTGAAGATTTCTAATATTTCTCTTTAATATTGTTCCTATGAACTTTATTTCTTGAACTTTTTTAATCACAGTGAGATACACAATTACAAAGTTGTGCATGGTTGGGTTTCAGTCACACAATGTTCCAACACCTGTCTCTTCACCAGCATACATTTCCCGCCACCAATGCCTCCAGTTTCTCTCCTAACCTACCACCCATAACCCCATAGCCTGCCAATGGCAGACACTTTTCTTCTCTCTCCTTCCCTCTTTCTGAACTTTTTTGAATGTCCCCTTCATTCTAAATATATACCTTTAAATATTTCAATATAACCTTTTCACTGGTGCAGATAACAAATTCAGCAAGCAAAGCTTTATATTGGGGAAGATCAACTATAAAGGAGAGTCATCTATCTGTGTCTTCAATAGTTTCATGCAAAGCCCGTATTAATAGAATGAAAAGACTTATGGGATGGCCAAGCCACTTCTACTAGCTTCTTATCAATCAATGTGGATTTGTGGTTTTTCCACATAACTGACTTGGTTGCAAGCACCTGAGTCTATTGTGAAGAGTCAAAATAGTGTGACTGGTCTGTCTGATGAAAGAACAGCTTTAGTCACTGCTGACAAGGTATGCCCTGGCACAGGGTGTGATTCTTAAGAATAGGAAAGCCTGTATTGCAGTAATGAGGGCAACAGTAATTCACTTCTTGAATATCTTACTCATGAAAATAAATACAGATCTTGACATGGGGTGCTTCAAAAATAGAAACTTTTGTGTTATTATGTTTGACAACTCTTAAGTAAAATATGATATGGCATTGTTTCCTTCCAATTATAAGTAACAATAATTTCTGTGGGTATATGTATAATACTTTTTACATGGCAACATGCAGAAGTCTAACTGTAACTATGCATGATCGCACACGCCATTTTCCCAGAAGCTGATTTTAGATATTTATCTGGCTATGTATTTTATATACAGCAAAAAGTGGAAAGTAAATCTGAAATCAAAACCAAGTAAGTGCAGAGGATTGTTTTAAAGAGCTCAGTGCCCCACCCTGTCATCAGTCCATAACCTACATGGCAGGCAGACATCAAAAAGGGCAAGAAAAAAATTTCACCAAGAGTTCTAAATTTCATAAAAGGGAAGACAATTTTAGGTTTAATGCTACATATATATCCATGTTTCCTCAGTTTATTATTTTTCTGTTGTTTCTATTGTAATGGGTGCCATTCCTGGTGCTGCTTGGGTTGGGATGAGGGGATTATGCATAACAAGAATGGAACCCGGTGCTTTGTTCCATAATGCAGGGCATGTGCCATTACTTGAGCCATACTCCCAGCCTCTCATTTTAAAGTAAAAGCTGGAGCTGGAGTGATGGGACAGCAGGTATCCTATCACTGGGAACCAAGCTGAATGATAACCAGAGGGTATCAGTGGGTATCATTCAGCTTGATTCCCAGCTTTCGGTATGGTCCCTAGAGCCACCAGGAGTAATCCCTGAGCACAAAGTCAGAAGTAAGTACCGCTGGCTGTGCTCTTCCCTGCCAAATAAAGGTCGTTCAGGATATTATAAAGAACAACCACTTCAAGCTATCTGTGTAAAAAAAAATAAATTAAACTAAAGGCATGCATAATGGGTAGCTGCACCGAGCAATGCTGCTTTCAAATGACATTTAAGGGCTCAAATTCCCCTTGGTTTTCCTTTTTTAAATGGCAGACAGAGACAGCCTCAGATGTTGTCTTAGAACCCTTGGCTAGGCTGTATCTCTCAGAACAACTTATTTGATCATTTTGTGGAAAGGAAAGGCAGGTCTAAGTTGGACTGAGGTAAAATGAGATCAAAGGTACTTAAGAAGCCAATTAACAATGGACAAGAGAGGATCATCCAGCTGGCACAGGACTGCAACCATTTGAAGGCCCACAGCATGACTAGGCAGGGAGTAGGCACTGAAGGAGGATGAAGGTCTTGGGCTGAGATTTTGGTCAAGCTAAATTCATGGTCTAGGTGGTGGCCAAGCAATTTTGTGATCTTAGAGCCTGGAATATTGCGGGCATTCAAGAAATGTATCCAAGGTAGAATGAATAACTGAATGAATGAATGGGTATACTTAGTCATACATCTACAAGTTTTAATTTAATACAATCAGCAGGGGGAACTCCTGGCTCTGCACTCAGGAATTACTCCTGGCGGTGCTCAGGGGACCATATGGGATGCTGGGAATCGAACCCGGGTTGGCCGCGTGCAAGGCAAACGCCCTATAGCACAGCGGTAGGGCGTTTGCCTTGCACGCAGCCAACAGGGCCGACCCGAGTTCGATTCCTCCGCCCCTCTCGGAGAGCCCAGAAAGCTACTGAGAGGATCTCGCCTGTGCGGCAGAGCCTGGCAAGCTACCCGTGACGT